GAAGCCAAGCTGTTTTCCCCATCTGCAACAACCAGCTCCCCTCCTTCCTGGTCTCCCAGAGTTTGAAGAGCTATGAAGAGGGTGAAGCAAAGACAGACAAGACTAAGAAGCCTCAAATTGCGTGGGAAGGTACCAGGAGAGGAGAAGACTTAGGGAGCTGTGTGAAGTTGGGGACCATCAGTCCTCACAACTGCCTCATAGGGGCAAGTTCTACCGGGAGAGGTTGCTGTGCTCTCTAGCCCTGGCCTCCTGAGTTTTCCTGTTTCTTTGAATAAATCATTAGCTTCACTGAAGCCATGTGAGTTATGGCTGACCTGTTTTTGGCACCCACTGCTGTCACAGGCTTAGGTTTGGGTTAGAGTTATTACAATGCCCCACTACAAAAAGTAGAAGTACAGCCAGAGGTGCTGACTCACACTCCAGATTGCATTGTGCAACATGACATCATGACGTCACACATGCACTATGCTGGGCTCCATGCTTGGCCTCCTCCTGATGCATGTGCAACATGGTCTGCTGCCTCCGTCCCCCTATCTGCAAACAACACTGTCCAGACTGTCACCGCCCACCCTCTTCCCTACCTCCACTGCTGCTGCAAGGCCTCCATTGAGGTCCGCTGTGGCCACAGACATACTTCTGGAAGCTGGGCCTCACTGAGTGTTATACAACAAAATCAGGACTACCATCTCCGAAAACCCTTGTGGTTTACAAACATCCTTCCACGCTCACTCTGCCCATTACAATAAAGGGCATTAATATATGTTAGTTTTTACAGAGGTTAATGGGAGTGTTCTGCTGCATTCTGAAGTGCTAATTTCCCCCCGTCTCACTGCAGTAGGCAAAGTCTGAGAGCACTCAGTATTGTGCTAGGTAAGACCTCCATAATCAACTAAGCAGGGTAGCATTTTTTCTTGTTGTCAAACACAATTCAAGGTTTAAATTCAAATGGTTCTCCAACCATTGTGAAACGAATCGCAAGCTGATGTGAACCCTTAATGGCATTAGAAATGATGCTATGCAATGTGCATCTGAAATTCCAAATCTCATGCTGCATAACAAGCAGCATGAATGGTTTTGTTGAACTGGAATAGCAAGGAAATATCTGAGATGTTGCATTTATATAATTTTGCACAGAAATCCAGTAATGACTAGTCTTACACCTTTCTCCTTTTTCAACAGTTGGGTTGTTGATCTCCCAAATTATATTTCTCTTGGTAATGAAAGGTGTCCCACTCCCAGCATTTTCTTAGAAATAATGACACACTTAACTACCTTTAAGTGCTGACTGAGTGCTTCTGTCTTTTCTTCCCAAGGTGACTGTAACACAGATTGATGAAAGATTCCACAGGCCTGCAAAGGTTAAAGAAGCAGGCCCAGAGCAAAGTAGGCAGCCTTGACACTGATGGAATACAGTACAATGAGAGTGCCCACATTATTGTCCTCTCCTCTGATAACGGATGTAATATAAAAACTGACTACAGAAGAAAAGAACAAATTAAATCCATTAATCAAACATATCTGTGCTAAACAGTTGTTGTAAAGAGATGAACAAATGAAAAATTTACTGTTTGTTTTCATGCTAGCCAGGATTCAGGAAGAAAATTAATTATAAGACTGCTGCTACGCTATTAGTTAATTTTTTCTTGAGGAAACTATTTATTGCTTTGTCAAAGAACAAATGAACCTCATTAGTGAGATTAGTTTCCGTCAGTAGTTTTGCATTAGGAGAGACTAATAATATATACTTCAAAAGATATGTTGTGGAAAATAACTTCAAAGAACCCCAAGTCCATTTGTTACTTCTTAATTTATTAGACTGCACTGAAAAAAATCACCACTATACGGTTTGTCAACCAGTTAAAAAAAAGTCTTCCACATATGTAATAGCTCACTAAGCTGTAGAAACAGTTGGCGAGGTATAGGAAAAGAGCCTGGACGTCACACAGAACTTCTGCTAAATACAGATGATTTTGTAAGTTTTGAAGTTGAACCACCAAGTTCTTGTTGTATCTCTCTGATATCACAAGGGAGATAGATCTCTAAGAATAAATAATGATATAAGGCTTATAGTGATTTTACACCATCTGGTGACATTTCCCTCTTTTAAAAATGTAACAGGACAGGCATATGTTTCTTTCAATCCAGGCATAATCTATAGAACCCTAGTCATATTCTATACTGTATTCTTTATTGAATTAGCACATTAGTTTTCTAATGGCATATCTTGATTATTATGGTACTTTTAAAAAAATAAACTATCATTGGCATTTTTTTTTACAATCAGTGGCACTAATACTTTATAAAAATATACAATTTCCTATCTTTACCTTTATAAGAGCTAGGAGTTAAGTATTTATATTGCTTTATAAATCTGATTGCATTTTTTAAAGTGCAAAGTTATACATTCTGAAATAAAGTCTACTGAGTTCAAGTGTGAATGAGACTGCAGCCTTATGCAACAATGTTTAGGAATAATGTTGCTAGGGTTTTTTTAGTTCATAGCATTCTTTGTGGTAACTCAACAGAACCTTTTGAACAGGAAAAAAGTTGCATAAAATGACAGCATCCTCCCAATGTACTCATGCTTGTAATGAAGTTATAGTTCATTATTCTCAGTTTAGGCTCAGGTCAAGCATCGCTGTGCCCCTAGCTAATATTATTTTCTGCCATTGGCTCAATACTGACTCACAGTCAAAATACCAATTTACTTAATCTCTATCTCCTCCCAAAGTGTTCTTGGCACTTTCCTTCCAAAGTATTATTCCACTCAGACACTGCTTGCCTTTTGAAAGCTAAGAGCAGGGGTCAGCAAACTTTTTCAGCAGGGAACTGGTCCACTGTCCCTCAGACCTTGTGGGGGCCGAGCTATATTTTTTTGGGGGGGGGGGATGAAAGAATTCCTATGCCCCACAAATAACCCAGAGATGCATTTTAAATAAAAGCACGCATTCTACTCATGTGAAAACACGCTGATTCCCAGACCATCCGCAGGCCGGATTTAGAAGGTGATTGGGCCAGATCCAGCCCCCGGGCCTTAGTTTGCCTACCCATGGCTAAGAGGATGACATATTACATGGCTACTGATTAAAAGACAGCCTTTTCCTCTATACCCTCCTCCTGTAATAGCTGTCCCTACTTAAGAAAACATCTCTCCTCAAGCATCTTACGTTCACAGTTCTGGTATACTGAAATCAATGGGTTGTATCCAGTGGTGTCCCTTTGTTGATGGGAGGTACTTTGATTGAGTGGAGTTTTATGTCAGTGGGAGGACTGGGTCTCAGTGGTGGAACACCTTACAGTGGTGCCCCGCAAGACGAATGCCTCGCAAGACGGAAAAACCGCTAGACGAAAGGGTTTTCCGTTTTGAAGTTGCTTCGCAGGACGAATTCCCCTATGGGCTTGCTTCGCAAGACGAAAATGTCTTGCGAGTCTTGAGATTTTTTTTTTCGCTTTCCCCCCCCTTAATCTAATCTGCTAAGCCTTTAATAGCCTTTAATAGCCTTTTAGCAGCTAATCCCCTAAGCCTTTAAGCCTTTAATAGCCGCTAAACAGCTGATAGCGCTAATAGCGCTAATCCGTCAATGGGCTTGCTTCGCAAGACGAAAAAACCGCTAGACGAAGACTCTTGCGGAACGGATTAATTTCGTCTTGCGAGGCACCACTGTATTTGCATTCAGATGGTCCCAACTTCAATCCCTGGCATCTCCACATAGAGCTGCAAATTGCCTCCTGCTGCTGTCAATCAGATTATGAAGCTAAATAGCATCCCTGCCATCATAAAGGGACTGCACCAGGCTTCATATATGCCACTTTCCTGGGTGTTAGATACCACTTACAAAAGTCATTTCCCACCACACTACCATTGTTTGAGTTTAAACCCATCAGTTCCCAATAACATCCCAATAACAATAACAAAAAGAGGTTATTTTGCCTTTATCCACTCCACCAGCATACTAGTGATACCTTTCTTCAAACTCCATGTTGACTGCTCACAATGGCTTCAAGTGGATGAAGGGGACAAGAAGGTACCCTAAAGGACTCCAAAGTGCAAATGTCAGGAAAGTCACCCAGACACTCTCTTTGAACAGTCTTGTAGTTAGAATGGAATCACTAAAGTGCAGTGCCACCAGTTCACATCTCAGAGAAACAGTCTAGGAGGATACCATAGCCAATGGTATTGAATGCTGCTGAAAGGTCAAGTAGCTACAGCAGGGTCATTCTCCCCCTGCCCCCTTCCTGATAAAGGGCATCCGTCAGGGTAACAAAGGCTACTTCAGTCCCCAAACCACTCCTGAAGAAATGGGGCATGATAATCAGTATCTTCCAAGAATGCCTGTACTTGCGCTGCTGCTGTTCTCTCAACTGTCACATAATAGCATCTTCTAAAGCCAGATTCATTACCTCCTCTCATAATGAGGCCTTCACGACTGCCTCAACTCACACTGTGAAATCCCTCCAGCTAGCTTTAATCAGTCAAGTTGGGCAAAAGTCAAGAACATACACTGTGGACGGATACAATGAGCAAGGACCTTGTCCATGTTCTTAGATCGTATCAACTGAACCTGATCCCATAAAAATCAACTTAGCTGGAGTATTGAACATCTCGCCTGAACTTACTGTAACAATAGGGTCAATGCCATTGTGTGGGCAAGCAATTCTACCTTCAAAGTACCCTGGAAACAGGTTACAGCAGGCGACTGAAGGATCTACTGCTTCACTGATTGAGGTACAAGTCAAGATGACCCCGGCTACCTTAAAAAACTCCACTCAAGGATGTGGTGGTGGTGAAGTTTCCCTACTTTCCTCTTACTTTTTGTTCTTTTTAAAAACCCTTATAAATATTAGTGACTGCTATCTACAATTCACTCTACAACTATGCACCTTTTCAGACCATACTTAAATATCCCCATAATGCTTCCAGATAAAATTCATAGACAAATAGGAAGTTAGATCTCTCTGTTTTTGCCCCCAGGCATTCAATTAACTGAGCTATTCCCTCAGCTTATCAAGGGGTGATAATGAATATTTCCCCCAAACACACACACACACACACACACACATGCTAGTTAGCATTTTGGAATATCTGCTCATAAAACCTTCTACAACATAATTTTCACTATTAATTGCCGGAAATATGACTTGAAACACCAAGGTTCATTTTTTCAACACATAAAGATTTTCTGAAATCTGGTTCATTTGTCATGGGAAAGCAGAATATGTAGAAAGCATATTCTCATGCATGTGTCCTCAGAAGTATGTTCTGTGGAAACAAGACCCTGGGTGAGTGTCAGGAACCCCTGGAATCTTGCTAACACTGGGCAGAGATTGGGGTAGCATGTAGTATTATTAATATTATTATTAATCATTTCATTTCTATAACACCTTATATTTTCAGGAAAATCTCAAAGCAGCTTACATCACATTAAACCAACATCCTACATTAGTGGTTTCATATTCTCCTTTTGATGTAACACCTAGAGCAATTTCCCAGTTCAGATTTCATGGGAAACTGTACTTTCAGCATGACATTCAATGTAGTGCTAAGGAGATTGCAAGAATTTGCCCTCTCCTTCCCACTATAAGCTGTTCTGTGGGTTCTTCTGGCCCTACAGAGTGGATTCGGGTGGAGTCTGGGGTGTAAAGGGTTGGCTAGGGGAAGACTTGTGCTGGCTTTCTTTAGCAGAATGGGTTAGGATATCTTAGCTGACTGTGTGTGTGTGTGTGTGTGGGAAGGAAGGGAAGAAGGAAAGGGGTAGGTAAGCTGTCTTTTGGTAGCTACAATAAAGCTTTTAATTTATCCAAAATGTCAGTGTGCATCCTTTCTTACTCTGGTTGTATCCTAAGGTGTCATTTTAAAATCCAAATATATTAATTGTATTGCACTTGCAAAAATACCTGATCAATCAAGTCTTGACTAGATTCTGGAAGATAAATATGTTACAAGATCGGAAGGGAGGGGATGACTGCATAAGGTAAGGTAGGGGAAAATAACACTATGATATGTTTAAGAGAGAGGACTTCAGATGCTGACAAATGGCAGTTTCTTGAATAATTGCATCAGTTTCATAATTATGTTCAAAATGTGTAGGTATCATCCAACATATTGACAGGTGTTTTATAGATAAGAGAAGAAAAAATGTGCTTAATATACTCTTCCCCCCCCCGTGTGTGTGTGTGTGTGTGTGTGTGTGTGTGTGTATGCACCCATTTATTTATTTTTTAAAAATCAAGTTAAGCCATCCTACAGTATATATTCTGTGCTTCTTTTCCAATGCAGTTGCAACACTTAAGCAGCAGCAAGCAGTAGAAAGAAAAGAGGGGGCTTCCGGGGGGCGGCGCGAACGGCAATGGCGGTCTTCTCCCGACGGGAGAGGAGGCTCCGCTGAAATCGGGTCGTCCGCTGCGGCGAAGCGGAGACCCAACGAGGAAAACCCCAGGCAGCAAGAGCCTGGGGTCCTGAGGCTCGGCGGGCGCCACGAGCAGCCCTCCAACTGCAGAAGGAGCCTCGTAAGGGGCTCCGGAGCGTGGAGGGGGGTGCGGTGCTGAGAGCCGTTTCACAGTCAGCGGAGTGAAGCCGCGCTGCTGCTGCCGGTGAGCGCTGATCCCTTTTCCTGTCAAAATTCGGACTTGGAAGAAAAACAACTTATTCGTGAGTAAAGACTGAATCACTTGGAATTACAAATTTTAAATGAGAAGGTTTAATTCGGCTTGAACTTGGCTGAAAGCGGAGAGACGTGGAAACAGGAAGTCCGTCTTCCGCAGCCATTGAACTTGAAAAAAAAGCAACTAAGGCGGAGGAGTGGAGGCTGAAAGAAAGAGATTTTAAACTCTACACAGCCAAGCATCTATGGAACTTACAATTTAAAGCAAAACCAGTAAGCTAAAGATTTGGATTTTTTATTTGCACTTGACTTTCCCCCTTTTATTGGATTACAAATTGGAAGGTGAAACCCAGAGTCAGGATTGCTTGAGCACTGTAAGAGTGAGCTGTCAGTGTTGATTTGGATACTGTATATTAGAATTTGCAACAATCTGAGGGTATTGAGACCTTTTAAATTTGAAACATTCTTTTTGGAGACAAATAAGCACTGTCTGCAACAAAGTGATTACTTTTAAACTCTGCTTAATACTTATATTGGAAGGTTCTGGGACATTAAATCAGACTCTGAAAGACATCTTAAGCTCCCTCTAGAGGATTGGATTAAAACAGTGACTTTACAAATACATTTACTTTCGATTCCCTTGTTGTTTGCTTGCTCTGGGCCTTTCTATTCCTGTGGGAAAAACTCAGTGTGACCTTGACTGATAGATAACATTGGAATGAGTGGTACAAGAAGAAGAGGAAGAGTCAGACAAACAACTTTAACAACTCTAACCTCAGCCTCGCAGACACGTAGATCATCTGTGCCTACTTTGCCCTCAGAAGTACAACTTGAAGAAGCTGCTTTGCCACAGGCAAAAGAGGGAGAGGGTGAAGCAGAGCAGTTACAATTGGAAGATATGGCCTCAGGAGCATCTGTTTCTGTTCTAGAAAAAATCTTTGAAAAATTGGAAGCTTTGGACAAGAAAGTAGATGCGCAATCAGCAAAGATTGATAAAAATACAGATTGTCTAAACAAATTAACTACACAGGTGGGACAGAATACACAAGCAATTGGACAGTTAACGGAGGCCTCAGTAGAAAACCGAAAATTGGCTGAGGATACCAGACAAAAATTGGAAAATTTAGAGCAAGAGGTAAGACCACTCACTAAACAAGTTGGGGAACATCAGACTTATCTTTCTATGATAGAACTGCGAAATCGTGAGAATAATTTGAGGATTAGATCATTACAAGAGGCAGAAGAAGGAAATCTAACTGAGTTTTTGACCAAAGAACTTTCCAAGTTCTGGAATTTGGAAGAAAAGGACTTTAAAATTGTGTCAGCTTTCAGACTTGGAAGATTTATAAAGAAGGAGAGGCCCAGGGATTGTTTGATTACATTGAGATCGAAGGAGGAAAGGGATAAGATTTTGGGTCTACATTACGAAAAGTCACTGGAGGTTTTGGATAGAAGAATTGAGATATATAAAGATATTCCAAGACAACTGTTGGATCTCAGAGCCGCCTACTCTGAACTTGCTAAATTATTAAGGAGCAACGCAATTCCATTCAGGTGGGAATTCCCCAAGGATTATCTTTTACCTTTAGAGCGAGAAAGGTCAAAATTAGAACATTGGAAGAGAGAGATAAATTTCTGGCTACATACGGAGAGGACCTACAAAAAGGAATTGAACTACCTTCCGGGCCTGGGGCAAAGGCAGCATTAATACCTGCACCTGGGGAACTTGAAGATCCAGAGAAGACACCACCCCGGGAGAAATAACCAGACAGATCCAGGATGTCTCTGCAACTGTTGAGCTGGAACATTAATGGTTGTAACATTCCGGAGAAAAGGAAGAAAATATTTCATATATTAAAAAAAGAACAATTGGACATTATCTGTTTACAAGAAACACATGTGACGAGGCTCCACAGAAAAGTGTTAATAAATAAAAGATTGGGCCAGGAATTTATTTCGTCGGACAAAGTGAAGAAGAGAGGAGTGGTGATATATGCAAAAGAGAGCCTGTCACCTAAATTTCTATTTAAAGATGAACATGGAAGGATTTTGGCTATTGAGATACAATATCAAGGAGAGAAACTGCTGATATTAGGAATCTATGCACCCAATGAAGGGAAATCGGAATTTTACAAGAAGTTGCAGGGGACAATGCTGGATCATCTGGATTACAACAACATCATAATGATGGGAGACATGAACGGGGTCGTATCAACTAACATGGACAAGTCGCAAAGTCAAAATGTCACAAAAGATGGCAGACTACCTAAAACCTTTTTGAAATGACTGACAATATGGACTTGATTGACATTTGGAGAACAAAGAACCCACTAGGTAGAGAAGGAACATTCTTTTCTGAAGCCCAACTGACCTGGACAAGAATCGACCAAATATGGATTTCTAGAGGCCTGGCACCTAGGGTTAGAAAAGTGGAAATCTGCCCAAAGACCTGCTCTGACCACAACGCAGTAAAGATGGATATGACACTACTACCAACTGGATCCTTTAGATGGAAGATGAATGACAATTTGTTTAGAGATCAGGAAATTACCAAGAAGGCCCAAAAAGTTTTGAAAGACTATTTCGAGATAAACATGAATAATTCGGTGGAAAAAGAATCGTCTGGGACGCAAGCAAAGCTGTCATGAGGGGATTCTTGATACAACAGAATGTAGTAAGGAAAAAACACAAAATGAGAAAAAGACAAGATCTTGGATAAAATAAAAGAATTAGAGAAGAAATTAAGAGTGAATCCAAAGTCACAGCCAACTCTGAGAGAAATTAAACTGTATCAAACACAATATTCTAAATTGATAAATCAGGAAATTGAATGGAAGATTAAATTAATGAAACAAAAAACGTTTGAGTCGGCAAATAAATGTGGAAAACTGCTATCTTGGCAGTTGAAGAGAAGACAAAGATTAAATACGGTTACAAATTTAGAGGTCGATGGAAGAAACATTCAGAATCCAGTGGACATTAGAAAGTGTTTCCAGAGATATTTTAAAAACTATATACCCAAGGGCCGCAAGACGAAGTCGAGATTAAACAATTTTTGCCAAAAATGGATTATCTAAACTGTCACAAGAAAATAGGACAACCCTGAACTCTAAAATAACACGACAGGAGATTGAACAAGCTATTCAGAACATGCAACTTGGCAAATCTCCAGGGCCAGACGGGCTGACCTCCAAGTATTATAAGACACTAAAAGACTATTTGATACAACCCTTGATGGAGGTTAGCAATGAAATTATGGAGGGGAAGAGGGCACCGGATTCGTGGAAGGAAGCGTTTATCACATTGATACCAAAGTCAGAAGCTGAAAAGACACAACTGAAGAACTACCGTCCCATCTCCCTTTTAAATGTGGATTACAAAATATTTGCAGATATTTTGGCAAGTAGATTCAAAAAGTTTTAAATGAAGTAATTCATAAGGACCAGGCCGGTTTTCTCCCAGGTAGACATCTGTTTGCTAACACAAGGAACATTATTGATATCTTGGAACTTCTCCAAACTGACATAAATACAAAAGCAGTTTTAATTTTTATAGATGCGGAGAAGGCCTTTGATAATATTTCTTGGAAATTTATGATGGGAAACTTAAAAGAGATGGGAGTGGGACGGGGTTTTGAGAATGGGATTGAGGCGATATATTCAGAACAGAAAGCTAAACTGATAGTTAATAATGTGGTTACAGAAGAGTTCAAAATTGAAAAAGGGACACGACAAGGCTGCCCTATCTCCCCTTTGTTATTTATTTCGGTTCTGGAAGTGCTATTGAACATGATTAGAGGGGACCAGTTGGTGGAAGGAATTCAGGTTGGTCAGAAACAATATAAACTAAAAGCTTTTGCAGATGACCTGGTTTTGACCTTGCAGAAGCCAGAGCCTAGTACGAAAAGAGTATTACAATTGATTAATGACTTTGGTCGGGTGGCGGGATTTAAATTAAATAAACAGAAAACCAAGGTTTTGGGAAAAAATTTGACTGAGACAGAGTCAGAACGGTTTCAGAATGAGACGGAACTTAATGTGGTTAAAAAGTAAAATACCTAGGGGTAAACATAACAGCAAAAATCTAAGTCTATTTAAGGATAACTATGAAAAATGTTGGACAGAAATTAAGAGAGACTTAGACAGTTGGTCAAAATTGAAACTTTCTTTGTTAGGCCGAATTGCTGCGATTAAGATGAATGTATTGCCAAGAATGTTGTTTTTATTTCAAACACTTCAGGTTTTGGACAAAATGGAGTGCTTTCAGAAGTGGCAGAGAGACATTTCGAAGTTTGTCTGGCAGGGCAAAAAGCCCAGAATTAAGTTTAAGATACTAACTGATGCAAAACAAAGAGGGGGCTTTGCCCTGCCGGACTTAAAGTTGTATTACGAAGCCGCAGCGTTTTGCTGGCTAAAAGATTGGCTACTTCTTGAAGACACTGATGTGTTGGATTTGGAAGGGTTTAACAATGTTTTTGGATGGCATGCATATTTATGGTATGACAAAGTTAAAGCAAATAAGGCCTTTAAGAACCATATTGTTAGAAAATCACTGTTTAATGTCTGGACAAAATATAAAGACTTGCTGGAAAATAAAACACCAAGGTGGCTTTCACCTTTGGAAGCTAAGGCCCGAAAAAGACCCAATATGGAGGCCAAATGGCCAAAATATTGGGAAATACTAGAAAAGATGGAGACAATTGGAAATTGCAGAGTTTGGAGAAAATGAAAGACAAAGTGCGAGATTGGTTACATTATGCTCAGATTAAAGAAGTTTTTAAAAATGATAAGAAACTAGGGTTCCAGGTGGAGAAATCGAAATTAGAAACAGAATTGTTAGAACCAAAGACTAAGATACTTTCAAGGATGTATAACTTGCTGTTGGAATGGAATACACAAGATGAAATGGTTAAATCGGCTATGATAAGGTGGGCACAGGATATTGGGCATAATATTATGTTTGAGGACTGGGAAAGGCTGTGGAGTAATGGATTGAAATTTACTGCATGTAATGCTTTGAAAGAAAATGTAATGAAAATGATTTATAGATGGTATATGACCCCAGTCAAACTCGCAAAAATTTACCACCTGTCTGATAACAAGTGCTGGAAATGTAAAGAGTGTGAAGGAACGTTCTTTCACCTCTGGTGGACCTGCCCTAAAGTGAAGGCGTTCTGGGAAATGATTTATAATGAATTGAAAAAGGTATTTAAATATACTTTCACTAAGAAACCAGAGGCTTTCCTTTTGGGTATTGTCAGCCAAGGGGTGGCAAAGAAGGACCAAACATTTTTATGTATGCAACAACAGCAGCAAGGATACTACTCGCAAAACATTGGAAAACTCAAGATCTACCCACACTGGAAGAATGGCAGATGCAACTGATAGACTATATGCAACTGGCTGAAATGACTGGCAGAATCCGTGACCTGGGAGAAGAGAGAATCGAGGAGGATTGGAAGAAATTTAAGAACTACCTACAAAAACATTGTGATTTGACTGAATGCTGAATAAGATGCTTGACTAAATAACTGAGCACCACTTAACTTAGAAGTTTTTAAGAAAATAAGAAAAACTGTGAAAGTTTAACTCTTTATGAGAACTATAAGATCATGAAATATCGAAGAGATATAAGAATTTAAATAAGATGATAAATTGCTGACAAAATGTTATAATGATGAAGGTGGGAGCGGGAGATGTGAGGAAGTCCAAAGAAAATGTGAAATTATGTTAAGACGAATGTTATATTGTTTATTACATTTATTCCTATTGTAAAATCCAATAAATTGCTTTAAAAAAAAAATAAACACTTTCATAAAAGCAAAAAAAAAAAAAAAAAAAAAAAAGAAAAGAGGTCTAGTGATGAGACAGCAGACAATATTCTTATATCTTTTTATATTTCCGCTCCACTTCCAAATATGCTCCGATTTCTAATCTCACTGAATAAAATCTCTGAATTTCAGCATGTAGCCATAAAGCCTTAGGCATCTCAATGGGAATCCAAAGAGCCCTAAGGATTTATTCACACCCACTGATCTCATCTTCATTCACATGCTATACAGACAGCAAGGAAGTCTGCAGTATAAAAATCAAGGAGTTGTGATGCATCTTTAGCATTTACCAGTTCTTGTTTACTTCTATCAAGAGGAGAATCTCTTTTCAGGAGACAAAACTAAATGTGAAATCTAACAACAGCTAATATAGGTGGGAATGTGTATGATTAATTGTTTATTTCAAAAGCAATCCATCCAAAAAAAAGGATTAGATGCAGTCATGTAACTATATGAAACCACACAGAGCAATTGTATTTACATTTACAGTGTAATACAAGAGGTAGTGTGTACCTAGGTAAACTATACCCTTCCCCACAATTGTTTTTCTACAAATCCCCATCTATATTTGGTACAGACATAAGTATGGTTTATTATTGTAGATTTCCCCAATTAATATAAAGCTATTCCCCCCTTTTCTTTCCTGCCTGTCATTCAGTTTTATTAAACTGCCTAAAGCAGGATATCCTAACAGCACATGTATTTGACTATTAATGACTTCCCAGTGTGAAAAGTGGTACTGATGCTGTCTCTAACCTGTAAGCAAAGGATTCCCCCCTCCCCAATCATCTTGCTTACGGTTAGAAACAATTTCTTTTAGGACCCATTAATATGGAGATTGTGGATTTCAATTTCATACTGATAAGTGTTACTATCAGTGGCCAGTGCCAAGACCCAGAGCCTAACAAGGAACCAATTGTACACCCCTGTACCCCTCAGGCCTGAATTGTTCCTATGCCTTGGGGCCTGTTCATGTGCCTTCTCTGAGCACTTAAACAGTTGCAAGAGTGAGGGAGAGGGGAAGCTGTAGCCGCCATCTTAGGGCTGCCACACGTCCAGATTTCCCCAGACACTACCGGGATTTCAAAGGCAGAATTGATGTCCTGGGGGAATTTCTGAACTTTGGGGTGTCCTGGTTTTTACTTTTTCAAATATGGCAACCCTACTCCATCTGCCTTTCCCTCACCCTCTGATTGGTTGTTTGGATTTGGCCCAAAGGGCATATGCAAGTGAATGTGCAAAGGTGGACCCACTCATGGATGAGAACCCACTGAGGGCATCTTGCCTAATGGTGCTTGAGCTTTGAAAACTTCCAATGCAAACTCAACTGATCCATAACTCCCAGACTATTGAGCAGATTGGAACTTAGTTATCCACTGCTTTTTAAAATTCCCAAATGTTCTGACACAGTTTCCAGCTTAATATAAACATATTGAAACACGGTTAGAAATGCATATTGCGAACACACCCAAGAAGATTCGTGACAAGAAAGATGGGAAACAGGCTATATTTATCAAAATATAACAACTACAGAATCTGTGATTAGAATAATTCAACCAAATTGAGCAAAACCAATGAGGCCCAGGCTATGAGGTGGATTAAATAGAAGATTTCAACTCTCCCATCTAAGCCAGCTGCCAGCCACATGCTGTAATCATACTAATGAAACTCCCCACCACCACCACCACCACTGTGTGCTCCCTGGGTATATGAACCAGACATGCACACTGTGGCTGCATAGACCAATGTTCACCTCCATGTGCTTGACAGGCCCAAAGACCACTCTGGCTCTGATATCAGTCAGATATTTCCCAAAATCCACTCATCCATTTGGAGCAACCAAAAGGCAAAGGAGGTGATCAGCTTCTCCTAATTCAACTCCACACACAAACACACAAAAGCTTGAAAAGAGCTCTTTGCAGATCCTCTAGAAAAATAGTGCTACAGACAGATGAATACCATCATCCTTATATAATGCTGAATGTCAAACTTAATGTGACTGTGTGGAACATAAGTATTCCCATGCCCCAGAACCAAAGCTTTAATGGTACAGTTGATCTTCCATCATGCCCCATCAACCTTATTTGGGCCATCCTGCCACCACCAGACCTGCCTCACCAAAAGCCCTGACCACAAAAACATTAATTCTGGGACGTGGAACTGAAGACAACAAAGATTCTTAAGGATTTCTGCTAGCAGCTCCAAGCCTGTTCACTGAAACAAACCATTCTTTACCAAATGAATTATAAAAATATATGGAAAGGAACCCTTCTCACACAGACAGTGCATGATGGGCAAAAACTCACCCCATAGCATTCTTCTTCTGGTCAGCCATTGACAGGTTGCACTGTTGGGCAACTGCATCCCAAACACAGACATGGAAACTTGCTTGTGGGCCCCAACCCAAACTGAATGGGCAAACAACAGTATAATGGCAGGGTTCAGCAGCTGCCACAGATAAGATGAAGAGAAGAAGACTGTTAAAAGAAGTAGACCTATAAAAAATGTAACTTGAAGACTGCTAACTGACAACGGCCAATAGCCCAAATCCCCTCCAGGCAATGCAGAAAGATGTTCAGCCTGATTATCACACCAGAACTTTACAGATCTGTTAATACCTTGACCTCGAGTGTGACTGCCACCAGCAAGGGAGAAAAATCCAGGAACGTGAGAGCCATTTTTCTACACATCATTGATCTTGGAATATTACCCCAGTGCTTCATCCACATGCAGTGTCTGTCATAATGTGTAGCTTGGCTTCAAACAGGAGGTCCTGCCTCCAGAGTGGCACGGCATTATAGTCAGAGAGTAATTCAAGCCACATTTGTATGTCAGCCCGAATGCCCATGGAGACCTGAACATGATGAAACTTTTTCCTGACTGCTACCATAGCATCACAAAAGTGGCACAAAAATGCCCTGTTTGGAGAGATAACGTTCAATGAAAAAGATTTTTTCCTCCACGAGGTTGGTTCTTCTGACTTCTCGGAGGCCAAAGGCACTCTGTTCAATTATTATACCTTTACAGAAGTACAACTGGAGCAGAACTACTTCTTGTCTAATCCACTATCCTGTTCCCATAGTGGACAATCAGAAGACTGTGGGAAGCCCACAAACAGGAGAGTGCAAGTGCACCCTCCCCCCTCCCAGCTGGTTGGGCTATAGTGCAGCTAGTGCCTGAAGCCTACCAAATATTGAAAAGTAGCGTAAGGCCTTTTTGACAACTTAAACCCAGGCACAGCCACACTTTTCTTCCAGCCAGCCCTGTATGGAAGAGTCCCCTAGAGTAGGGTTGGGGTACCTGTGACCCTCCAGATGTTGCTGGACTACAGCTCCATTCATCCCTGACTCTTGCCCGTGGGACAAATGGTAATTGGATTCCTCATTGCTGCCTTGTGTTCCCAGTCCTAGTGCGAGCTCCAGTTCACAAAGGCTGAACATGATTGCAAGCCTCTGTGCAATTGAGCTCCACCATAAAGCAAACTAGATTACGTATTCACTTCAGAGTTCCCTGCTTATATTGCTGGCAAGGTCAAGGGTGGAGCAGTTGCAGCTGTATGAACCCACACCCGTCGCCCAGTTTAAGCCCCAACATCATCTTCTGAAGAATTGCAGTGTTGCTTTGGTTCAATTAGGAATGAAGAAAGATTGCTCATTAACCATGGCAAGAAGCCCCATGCCAGCATATGGGGTGGAAACACTCCTTTGTCCATTTAAACAAAGGGAGGTTCAACAAGAATTTCCAAGTGTATTTTGTCCTAGTTTGATATATCCTTGGCAGCTTTCCTTTTCAGACAAAATGGAACTTTTGGAGCCAGACGGAGATGAAATATGCCAGTGCCAGGCAAGTAGTGATGCTTCCCTATAGAATTGTCTGCAATGCTGGAAGGACGGACAAATGTTGTCTAGCCTTTTTATACATTTCAGAAATACAACTCATAAAAAGGGGTAATAAGATTGCTTCTTCATAGTGCATGTGTGTGTGTGTGTGTGTGTCCTAGATCCTTCAATGGTAAAAGTAGAAAGCTTTGAGCTGAGCTTGAAGATAGCAGTCGAATCTGTAGGGCAAGGGTAGCTTAAATTCCCACCTTGCTGGTTTGCACTAACTGTAATATTTCCTTGGAAAACTACTTTGACTAATGGGCTCATATAAGCCAGCCTCATGTTAGGAAGGCCAGAACTTTAAATCCATCAAGAAAGAGCTAGCAAAAATATTTTATAGGAGTCGAACCATTACCGCAGTACACTATTATTTCATTTTTAAAAGACAGACACTAAGCCAAGGACAGGAGTACTAGAGGGAAGAAAGAAATAATGTGAATGGCTGTTAAATATGGGAGAAAAATAGCAGACAAAAACCTTATCTAAAAGAAACAAGGCATGTGGCATAGCATACATAATGAGCAGGCTATGCTACAAGAAACATATTGATGGCAATGTCAATATTTATTCACTCATTCACCAAAACAAACTAAAGAACATTCTACAAAAGCATAGCCACTGGCAATCTTATATATATTTCCTTGACTGCTTTTGAGATGGCCCAGACAGTGCTATTTTGAAGAAAAAAAAGAATTCATTTGCAAATATTGCAGACACAGGTTGCCTCTTTGAGGTGTATTAACTACATCATAAAGCTCAGTGGCATCTGAAATCTGATAGACCTGGACTGGAGAGAAAATAAACATATTGGGCTGTATCCAGCCCAGTTCTACTCAGAGTAAATCCACTGAAATTAGTAGAACTAAGTTAGCCCTGTTCTTTAATTTCAGTGGGTCTATTGAATAGATTTTATTCTGAATATGACTCAGATATAATTCATTGCTAGCATACCATACTGAAATACCAAAAAGAGAGGAACAGCGTGCATTTTTAAAGAAATAAAAGCATTTTCCCTGATAACAATCAATCTTGGTAATCAGTGAAGCCTAGCTTTATGTAATTTACTGATCTGTTTGTCATT